TTTAACTATAAATGATCTTGCTTTTCATTTTTTGACCTAATCTCAGAGTTTTATATGTGAACTGAGTGTAAATGCTATTCCTGCTCATGCATCTGTGTCTCAGGACTGCTGTGAGATTCACGGGAGCTGTTCACAAGCTGCGGTGCTGAAACCAGCGTCTCACATTGCCTTCAATGAGCCGCAGACTCTCGCTTAATTGAGTGAGACTAGACGCGGTCGGACTTTTCATCACACTGGTATCGCCGTACGCTTCAAAACAGGGTCGCTGTTGAGCACGTCTACATCTGCAGCTGGTATCACCAAACATGCTGTAAATACATCATTAAACTTTGATATATAATAACCGATAATGGTATGTACCCGATGGTACATTAATCATGATAGTCAGTTAGTACCGTGGGACATCTTAAAGCAATGCCACAGTACATGGTTGTAATGGTAATTTGATGCATGGAAACTGATCATAAGCAATATTTTCTGTTTCAGTTCTTGATTAAACAGTGTTTTTATAGCATGTTTCGGTGATTGCAGACGTTTGTTTGTCATTCTGCTGTCGGTGTGTCGCTCTGATTCTGCAGCGGTTGATGCTGATCACAGGTTAATAATAATACAGGACGAGTTACAAAAGATGAATCCAAATCTGGATGAGGAGAGAATGAGAAACAACGCAGTTTCACATGAGCTCTGGACAAGCTAAAACAAGGGGATTTGAAACTAAATCTCTTACAAGGTTGAGCTGTGCCTCTAAATGACATTAGATTGGATTTCTTCAGCTTGTAACAAGAACCTTCAAACACCAACACATTGTGAGCATGAAATCTGAGCACGAAAAGATTCTCTGGGTAAATAAAATCTATTAATATCACAAAACAAGCTTTCAGAGTGATATAATGAACCACCAACAAGTCACACAGAACCATGTTCTGTTGCTAAAACATTCTTCAATTAAACAATTGTTACTGCGTTCAGTTTGGTGCTAAACAATCCTGATTTTAGACTTCATGAGTCTAGTGCAGAAACCTTTAACACGATGATCTATTTCATCTGGATACTAAACTGAACTATTAATACCATTAAGATAGGAGGAAAATGCGCCATCTTCAATTGCTAAAACAAGTAATCATCGATCAAATGCATGAAATGCGCAACAAATGTGCAGCAGATAACAGTTCATGGTCATGTATCAAGCCTTTTCCATGCAAGGCAAGAGCCTACACTCTTAAAAATAAAGGTGCTTCACGATGCCATAGAAGAACCTTTTTGTCTAAATGGTTCCATAAAGAAGCTTTAACACCTGAAGAACCTTTCTGTTACACAAAAGCTTCTTTGTGGTGAAAGAAGGTTCTTCAGATTATAAAAAGGTAAGAAAGAGATGCTTCTTTAAAGAACCTTTGACTGAATGCTTCTTTGTGGAACCAAAAATTGTTCTTCCATGGCATCGCTTGAAGAACCTTTTGAAGCACCTTTATTTTTAAGAGTGTAAAGGACTTTCAGCCGCAAACACAATGATTCATTTCAGTACAAAAATGTTCAGATATGACTCTAAATCCAACTATCCAAATAAACAAAGCTTTTGACAATGCTTTAAGATTGATACAATAAACTAGTAGAAGAAATGTCACATCATCTTCTATTAATACATCAATCTTGCTGCTTTATGAACATGACAAACATAAAACGCTTTTCCACAAGGAACAGAAAGCAAAAGATCATTTAGCCTCAACACAATGATCATAAAAGGGTTCTCTGGGCAGATCTGGCTCTAAAATGAACTAGTAATAGTTCATAAAGCTCTAAAAGCTTTTTAGAATGATATAATAAGCAACCAGAAGGATCTGCACCATCTTCTGTTGTGATAACATCGGTCAAATGCATGAAATGCACAACAGAAATGCAGCAGTTCATTGCCGCCTAACAGACCTTCACCATGAAGAACACGAGTCTCGAGCAGAATGACTCATTGCTATTTAAGAGGGTCATCTGGGTGGCTCTTCATATAAACAAAGCGTATTTAGAGTGATATATTAAACTAGCAGAAGAAAAGTCACATCACCTTCTACTATATCAATCCTGCCACTCAATACGTTAAAAATTAAGCGCTTTTCCACAAGGAACAGAAGAGGAAGGAACATTAAGCCTCAACACAATGATCATTAATCCGGCTCTAAACTGAACTATTAATGCCATTATCATTGTACTATTGCTTCAATCATTTTAGAATGATATAATCAGCAACCGGAAGGAATTGCACCATCTTCTCTTGCCATAACTTCTGCAAAATGCATGACATGCACAACAGAAATGCAGCAGATAACAGTTCGCTGTCATGAAGAACAAGAGCCTAAAGTCCCAAACAGAACGATTCACTTCAGTATATAAAAGCTCTTTGCATGGGCAGATACTCATCTAAAGCTTTTTAGCTTTTTTGGGAGTAATAGAACAGACAGAGGAAAAGTCACATCATGTTCTACTACTAGAACAATCCTGCCACACTGTAAACATGTGAAGCGCTTTTCTACAAGGAATGATCCACAATTAACTCAATGACCATTAAAGGGTTCTTTGGGCAGATCAGGCTCTGAACCGAACACTTAATGTTAAAGAAACACAAAGGAACCTTTTGTTGGAGTGATATAAAAAGCAGCCCCTCTTCTCCCGCCACCCTGTAAGCATCTCATCAAATGCACGAGCAAGAGCGAGGTGATGCCCGAGAGCCCCCAGAAGCTCTTTGTTTTGATGGCACTCACACGTAAGCGTGGTAGATGAACGCCCATCCGCGCGGTCTCTCCAGAACATTGTAGAGGAAATTCTGCAGGCGTCGGTAGAACGCGTTGCGCTTCGGCGGCCTCTTCCCGGAGATGCTGGAGCGCTGTCTGCTCAAGATGCTGCCGCGCTTCGTCGCCTCCGCGCCCGCGATCAGCAGCGCGCCGTCTCGGCTCGATTCCGTAGCGCCCGCCTCGAGCCCCACGAAGCCCACCTTCAGCTTCTTCTCGGCCTGCGGGGCGGGATACATGCCGCCGTTGCGGGATTTCTGCACCATGCTGGAGGTGCTGCTGTCGTCATGGAGATCCGCTGGTGCTGATGCTGCGGGTCTTCAGGTGCGAGCATCACTGTGCGCTAGAGGTGCGCGGCGCGGAGGGCGTGCGGAGGAACATGAAGCCAATAGCGACGCGAAGACGATCTGCAGCCTACCTCTCTCTCTGTCTCTCTCTCTTTCTCTCTCTTTCTCTCTCTCTGTCTGTCACACACACACACACAGGTTTGTTTTTATGGTTTATGGGGACTCTCCATAGGCGTAATGGTTTTTATACTGTACAGACCGTATATTCTATTGCCCTACACCAACCCTACCCCTAAACCTACCCCTCACAGGAGACTTTCTGCATTTTTAGATTTTCAAAAAAACTCATTCTGAATTATTTATAAGCCTTTTGAATTACGGGGACACTGAAAATGTCCTCATAAATCACCTTCTCGTTGTAATACCTATGTCATACCCATGTTATTATACAAATTTGTGTCCTCATAAACCACATAAACACACACACACACACCCTCCCTCTCCACTCTCTCTCTACAGAGGTTTGAGAGCTAGTTTTGGTGTTGAGAAGGTTATTAGTCCTGTTTGGGTTTCCTAGACGAGCAGGACCTTATAGCCATAAATGATGTTTGTTTTTATTTTAAATCCCGATTTAATGGATACATGCCCTTTCTATGGTTTAATTTGGTCACCCTGCTTGATCTCAAAACCCTCTGAAACCAGTCTACAGACTAGCCTGATTAGGCCGATTTATTTATTTATTTAACAGCAGGTTAAGAATGTGTTTTATTTTTTTAATTTGCGCTTATATTGCATGACCTGTTTGGGGTTTTCAAAGGCAAGCATATGACACTGACCTTATAGCCATAAGTGATGTTTGTTTCCAAATCCAGATTTAATAGTATAATAAATGCCCTTTCTGTAATTGCTTATGATGGTTTTATTAGCCGGTCGCACCTGCTTGATTTCCAAGCACTGTAAAATCAGATTTATTCAGTTAAACTGTAAGAATAAGTAAGAATTTGTAATGTACATGTTTGGCACTTTTATTGCATATTTAATTTGTTTGGTTTATAGTTTATCTGCTGAAAGCACATCTTAAACCAGCCTGATCTGTTAGCTGGTTTTGGGTTTTGGTTCTAATCAGGCTGGAAGACCAGCTTGTCAAACCAGTTAAAACCAGCACAGCCGCTTATGCAATTTTGCACCAAAAAATAAATAAATAAAATAAATAAATAAATAATAGATTTTTTTTTACATTTGCACATTTATTGCACATTTAAATTATTTGGTTTGTATTGAGACGTTTCCTCTTAAACTCTAAGAAAAGTCCATAAAAAAGGTCCCAATGTACTGTGTTAATATTTCCCTTATTGATTTTCACTGGCATCTTACCCGGATTTTGAATTATGCATTTCATTGTGTTGAATTTTATGGTTAAAGGAAATTAACCTGTAAATTTAACTGAGACATTTTTCAGCACCTGTTCTATTTTTCTAAGGATTTTTTTTCTTAAAATACAAAACTTACTGGAAAAAAACAGCTGAAACCAGCCTAAGCCTTCACAGCCTGAGCTGGTTTTAGAGGGGTTTCGGGCAGTTTTCAGCTGGTCAGCTTGTTGGACGGGCTAAAATGCATATGTATGATGAGGGAATAATTCCCCATTGTACAGTACATATTCCCAGTGTGCTTGATGCTCTTTTATACAGATTTTATATTATAATGTTGAAGCTTTCAGAAAGCTTGTGGAATGTTTTTGGAATGCAACCCCAAAAAATATATAGTGCATCAGATGATCTTTCTTTTGTAGAAGAATTATGATAAGGAAAACCGTATGAAGAGAGTTAAATAGGGCTAATTATGGTGAAATTTGACCAAAGCTACATGTGAACATTACATATATAAAACCCAAGTCTGGGTTGCCGTGTGTTAATCTGCAGATGTCAAAGGAGCAAACAGATCACCCTAATTCACCATACTTATACCCATCCACAACACAAGACACACATCCAGCACGCTGACGACGGCGAGCATCACGAGCAGATCCAACATTTGCCTCCTGGGCTGCTGAATAAGGCTCTGCGTACTCGTCATACTGAAGCTCTGTGTGTTTGTTTCCAGACAACAGCAGCGTCTCCCGAGACACACGAGAGCCGCTCCAGACCCCTGCTAATCAAACCAAGAGTGATCTCAGATCATTCAGCTCACATCAGACCTGCCAAAGACGACACTCAGGAACAGTGCGTTCAGAAATGATCTCATGATGCTTTCAGAGCCAGTCACACATTTGAACGACCTAGGATAAAGTTCTGGATACAATCATTCAATTCTGGGTCAAACTGATTCCTAATTGGATTCAATACAATTAACCAAAAATCACACTATGAAAAAAAGTAAACCTTTAACATTAACATTTCTCACACAATAAAATAAAATAAAATAAAATAAAATAAAATAAAATAAAATAAAATAAAATAAAAGACTGCCCTTGGTTGATCCAATTCATCTTTAAGAAATAATGAAATTTTGCCTGCAATCTGATGCACATCAAAATCCCTTTGTTCTTCTCTGCAGTGTAAACACATCTAGATGAAATCTGTAGATTAGTGATGGTTGGAGGTGAGCTGACGTCTCACACAAGGGAATATGACAGTATTGATGGATGGAAGTATTATTGATCACGGTCTGAGCTCTCTGGGAATCAATGGCCCCGTAGCATTCACTTCCCATGTGAGAAAGCCAAAAATCACTAGCAATTTCACATGAGATCGACCACAAACACAACAAGCATTTGTTTTCTGACGAGCATTAGGGGACCGTAAAGAAAAAACAGTCAGAGAAGCTTATTTATCAGAAGAACGGCTGTGATAACTCATCAATATCCGAGCGTGTTTGTCAGGATGGAGGAGATGAAGAACAAACGCAGTGCTGCTTTTCATCTCTTCTGGGTTGTGTTGCCATGACAACATCTCAGCTAACAACGAGTCCTTTCAGGCTGTGTGTGTTCATCATCATCATCATCATCATCCTTACAGACGATGACGATAATCATAAAACATCACAGAATCAGTAAACACTGCTGATAATCATGTAAAATAAAACACTTACTGTACATTTACGAAGATGAACTGTTGAGAACTTTAAAGGAAAGTCATTCATCATTATATTTTGATAGGACAAGTGTTATTTCAGTGTTGAATTCATGTTTTTGACTTTTAGTTTCTGAAAGCCTGACCTTTAAACCCTGAGAGTGTTTCACTAATAGTTGCTTAGTGCTTCTCATACGGCTTCAAACAACAGAAAATAAGACAAAACAAGAAGCTCAAACACGTGAAACTCAAGAGCGGAAATCATTACTCATTTTAATTTATTCAAATGGCATTTTTATTTAATAACCAGGGTTCTCATGATCTTTGACAACCTGGATATAATGTATGAGGGAATATATATATATTCATCTTTATATATAATTTTAAAGTTATATATATATAGTAAACTAGTCAACTTTAATATATTGTACAGTGCTATGTAAACTTTATGACTTGAAGGCATGAAGATATTATAAACATTAAAATCATGATTTTCTGTAAAGCTGCTTTAAAACAATATGTATGGTGAAAATAACTATAGAAATGAATTTGATTTGATGTCATTACAGCAGAACTACCAGAAATATCTCAGGGTCAAAGGGTTCTCTAAGCATGTTCTGGATGTTCTGCATAATCCTGAGTTTATATCCCATAATCCTGAGTTTATATCTCATAATTCTGAGTTTATATCCCATAATTCAGATTTTATATCTCATAATTCTTATTTTATATCTCATAATTCTGAGTTTATATCTCATAATCCTGAGTTTATATCTCATAATTCTGAGTTTATATCCTGTAATCCTGAGTTTATTCTGAGTTTATATCTCGTAATTCTGAGTTTATCTCACAATTCTGATTTTATATCTCACAATCCTGAGTTTATATGTAATAATTCTGAGTTTATATCTCATAATTCTGAGTTTATATCTCATAATCCTGAGTTTTTTTCTGAGTTTATATCTCATAATTCTGAGTTTATATTTCGTAATCCTGAGTTTTTTCTGAGTTTATATCTCATAATTCTGAGTTTATATTTTGTAATCCTGAGTTTATTCTGAGTTTATCTTATAATTCTGATTTTATATCTCATAATTCTGATTTTATATCTCATAATTCTGATTTTATATCTCATAATTCTGAGTTTATATCTCATAATCCTGAGTTTTTTCTGAGTCTATATGTAATAATTCTGAGTTTATATCTCATAATTCTGAGTTTATATTTTGTAATCCTGAGTTTATTCTGAGTTTATCTTATAATTCTGATTTTATATCTCATAATTCTGAGTTTATATCTCATAATCCTGAGTTTTTTCTGAGT